TGACAAGTGATGATTCTCAACATTATACTGCAACGCCTTCAGCTTCACTCCATTGCGAGCACCATCTCCATCGCCTCTGTCGTCGCCAGAAGTACTGCATTCACCCGTAGGCTTCCCTTCCTCCTCCTCCTCCTGCCGATTTTCCTCCTCGTCCTCGTACAGGTTTCGCACTGAGCCGGCCATCACCACGGCGCCCACCTCCAGTGAGATGCCCAGGAGGAGAAAGACGACGGCGGTGCTGTGAAAGTACACCCTGAAGCGGTCCATGTCGTAGAGCCAGCAGTTGCCCGTCTGGCCGCAGGTACTCTCCCACACCAGACAGGTGGCGTCGATGATGCGCCCGAAGATGATCGGGTAGGGGATGAAGGCGAAGACGGCGAGGATGGTGCCCACCAGGCCCATCGCCAGGCTCTTGTCGCGCTGGTCCACCGATCTATATTTAAGTTTAGGTAGTGGTAGTGGAGGAGGAGGAGGAGGAAGAGGGGGCAATGCAGAAAGGCAACAGTCAGCATTATCAACAGTAGTTATCATCACTATCATCAGTATCAGTGTCTTGTGCTCATAGTACCCGCTACTGCTAATCTCCTGCTATGCAAAGTAAGTAAGAAAAGGAGAGCACCTACCTCAGCGTGAGCAGCGTGTCGCCCGTTCGGGCAGTGGAGGCCACCAGATTGCAGAGGCTGAGAATGCCGATGAAGAAGGGAAAGGTGTCGCACTCCCGTTCGCACAGCCCATTTGTCGCAGTCGCTTCCGTGGCTCCAGTGGACAGCAAACCGCTGCAGGAGCAGTTGCCGAACTTCTGCAGGGCGCCATCAAAGTGCGTGCAGCCGGCAAAGCAGGGGCTGAAGTAGTTGGTGGCGCCGTCGGCGGCGCACACCGGCTGGTACACCTGCGTCGTACAGAGGCAGTCTACATTGCAAGGGCTCACCTCTCTGCAAAAGTTTAGATTGAGTATAATTCAACCCAACAATAAAAGAGAGAGCTTACGTAGGATACTGCGAGGAGAAGACCGGCGGCTCACAGCTGAAGAACATGGCGCTGAAGATGCCCAGCGTGGAGAAGAGCTCCATGGCGACGATAAAGGCGGCCAGGTGGCGGGCGCGGGGCCGGCGGTAGGTGATCAGCGTGCCGCCGAGCATCGTCCCGACGGCCATCGTCACCACCGAGGCGGCCCCCGTGTAGAAGGCGGCGCTGGAGGCGGACTTGCGAAAGGCCAGCTCAATGTACTTCGGCTTGATGATGTAGAAGCCAAAGTAGCCGATGATGCGAAAGACGCCCCCGAAGATGTGAAAGAGGAGGAGGCCGTTGCGGGAGAGGCGGCGGAAGGACTCGGACAGGCCCTGTGCACTTAGGCCGGCGAGGGCGTTCGTCTGCGTGGAGACCTTCGACTTGAGGTCGCGAAACTGCCGCGGAAAGAGGAACATGGGCAGCGAGGCGAGGGTGATGGCGAACCAGAGGACGAGGAAGCCGATCCACTGCAAAAAAAAATAAAATGAAAGTTAGTAGTAGACCGCAAAATTTATATTTAAACTTACCCAAGCGCCCACCCAGCGCGGGTCCTGGCTGTCGATGCCCGGCTCCATCAGCGGGTCCTCGTAGAAGCTGAGGACGATGGAGGAGAGGACAAAGCCGAGGCAGGGGCCAAGCAGCCGCAGCGTGGAGATGGTGGAGAGGTACATGGCGGCACTTTTCTTCGGAATGNAAGGACAATGGAGGAGAGGACAAAGCCGAGACAGGGGCCGAGCAGCCGCAGCGTGGAGATGGTGGAGAGGTACATGGCGGCACTTTTCT